CATTCAATAGGATGCTGGCCATGGGTTTTTCATCAATTGCTTTGATTGTATTGAGGAATGTTCCTTCTATACCCACTTTGCTTAGAGTTTTCATCATGAAAGGGTGTTGAATTTTATCGAATGCTTTCTCTGCCTCAATTGAGATAATCATATGGTTTTTCTTTTGCAGTCTGTTAATGTGGTGAATCACATTGATTGATTTGCGAATGTTGAACCATCCCTGCATACCAGGGATAAATCCCACTTGGTCTGGGTGGATGATTTTTCTGATGTGTTGTTGTATTCTATTGGTGAGAATTTTATTGAGGATTTTTGTGTCTATGTTCATCAGGGATATTGGTCTGTAATTTTCTTTCAGTGCTGCATCTTTCTCTGGCTTAGGGATTAAGGTGATGCTGGCTTCATAGAATTTGGGAGGATTCCCTCTTTTTCGATTGTTCTGAATAGTTTGAGAAGAAATGGGATTAGTTCTTCTTTAAATGTCTGGTAGAATTCAGCAGTGAATCCATCTGGTCCTGGGCTTTTCTTTGTTGTGAGGGCCTTAATTACTGTTTCAATTTCTGTTTCAGTTATGGGTCTATTTAGGCTTTCTATGTCTTCCTGGTTCAATTTTGGTAGGTTGCATGTGTCCAGGAATCTATCCATTTCTGATTGATTTTCCTGTTTGCTGGCATACAGGTCCTTGTAGTAATTTCTGATGATTCTTTTTATTTCTGTGGTGTCTGTTGTTACGTTTCCTTTTTCATCTCTGATTTTATTGATTTGGGTCTTTTCTCTCTTTTTTAGTTAGTTGGGCCAATGGGGTGTCAATTTTGTTTATTTTTTCAAAAAACCAGCTTCTCGCTTGGCTGATTTTTGTGATGCTTTTTTGGATTTAATCCTGTTAATTTCTTCTCTGATTTTAATTATTTCTCTTCTACTAGATTTGGGTTTGGTTTGCTGCAGTTTTTCTAGGTCCTTGAGATGCACTGAAAGCTCATTTATTTGGTACCTTTCCAATTTCTTGATATAGGCACCTATTGCTATAAACTTGCCTCTCAATACTGCTTTTGCTGTATCCTGTAAGTTTTGATATGTTGTGTTGTTATCCTCATTTACTTCCAGAAAGTTTTTGATTTCTCTTGATTTCTAAATGACCCAGTGTTCATTCAGGAGCATGTTGTTCGGTCTCCATGTGTTTGCATACTTTCTAGGTTTCCTGAGTTGCTAATTTCCAGCTTCATTCCGCTGTGGTCTGAGAAGCTGCATGGTATGATTCTAATTCTTTGAAATTTGCTGAGACTTGCTTTATGGCCTAGTATGTGATCAATCCTAGAGAAGGTTCCATGCACTGCTGAGAAGAATGTGAAGTCTTTAGATGTAGGATTGAAAGTTCTGTAGATATCTGTTAGATCCATTTGGGCAATAGTGTCGATTAAATCTGCTGTTTCCTTGTTGATCTTCTGTCCGGATGATCTGTCTATTTCTGAGAGTGGAGTATTGAAGTCCCCCAGTACTATTGTATTGGAATCTAAGTCTCCCTTTAAGTCCCTTAACATACCTTTTAAATCGACCGGTGCCCTGTAATTAGGTGCGTATACATTTATAATAGTTACATCTTGCTGTTGAATTGAACCCTTAATCATTATATAGTGCCCCTCTTTGTCTCTCTTAACAGTTTTTGTATTAAAGTTTATTTTGTCTGATATTAATATGGCTACACCTGCTTTTTTTTTTGGTTTCTGTTGGCATGGAATATCTTTTTCCAACCTTTCACTTTCAGTCTGCATGCATCTATGTTAGAGAGATGTGTTTCTTGTAGGCAGCAAATAGTTGGGTTGTGTTCCTTGAGCCAATCAGCCAATCGGTGTCTTTTAACTGAAGAGTTCAGACCATTAATGTTTAATGTGGCTATTGATACGTAGTGACTTTGCCCTGCCATTTTCCCAGAGATATTTTCTAATATATGCTTTGAGCTTCCCATGCTCTTTTACTGGTAGGTGTTCTTCCTTTACCTTCTTTCATATTGATGCCGTGTTTCTGTGTTTCTGAGTGTAGCACATCTTTAAGTATCTTTTGCAGGGCCGGACCAGTGGCCACAAAGTCTTTCAATTTCTGTTTGCTATGAAAGGTCTTTATTTCACCTTCATTCACAAATGAGAGCTTAGCAGGATATAATATTCTGGGCTGGCAATTTTTCTCTCTTAGCACCTGGGCTATGTCTCGCCATTCCCTCCTAGCCTGTAGGGTTTCTGATGAGAAGTCTGCTGTGTGTCTGATTGGAGATCCTCTGAGAGTAATCTGACGTTTCTCTCTTGCACATTTTAGGATCTTTTCTTTATGTTTCACTGTGGTAAGTTTAATTACCACGTGTCGTGGTGAGGATCTCTTTTGGTCATGTTTATTGGGGGTTCTATGAGCTTCCTGTACTAGGATGTCTCTGTCCTTCTCCAAACCCAGAAAGTTCTCTGCTAGTATCTCACTAAAAAGGCCTTCTAATCCTTTCTCTCTCTCCATGCCTTCAGGAACTCCTAGAACTCGAATGTTGGTTTTTTTAATAGTATCCTGTAGATTCCCAACAATATTTTTTAGATTTCTAATTTCCTCTTCTTTTCTTTGGTTTGACTGTATGCTTTCCTGTGCTCTGTCTTCCAAGTCCAATATTCTCTTCTGTTTCACTGACTCTGTTTTTAAGGCTCTCTAATGTGTTTGTCATCTGATCTATTGAGCTCTTCATTTCATTTTGATTTCTCTTCACTATCACACTTTCCTGTTCTACTAGTTTCTGCATTTCATTTTGATTCTTCCTTAAGATTTCATTTTCACGAGAGAGATTTTCAATCCAGTCCAATAAGGATTTCTGTAGTTCAAGGATTTGCTTTTGAAAACTTCTAAATGTTCTTATCATACATTTTTTTGAAATCCGTATCTTGCATTTCTTATATCTCATCATCTTCATAACCTTGGCTTGGGGTGTTTGGTTTATTTGGAGGCATCATAGTGTCATCGTTGATCTTGTTCCCTCGATTTCTGTGTTTGTTGCTTGGCATAGTTAATTCTTCTGTCGTCACTGTGTGTTTGTTTTTAATTTTTTTTTTTTATTTTATACTATGTGTTAAGTGGACTGCCTGCTGTTGGAGGAGCCTTGGAGGCTTGAGATGGGTGTGGCCTGAGAGCTGTGCTTGGTTCTTCCAGGTTACAGGTGTGCAAAGGTGACACCCTCAGGTTATGCCTGGTAAATCTCTTTTTATTTATTTATTTATTTATTTATTTATTTATTTATTTTATTCATTCAGGAGGTAAGTAATACCGCACCGCACGGCTGTGCAGAATTGATGGTATTTAGCTTCCGATATCTGGCTTCTACCCAAAGTGTCTGTGCGGGCTCTGTTTCTCCTCTGGACTCCCACTGGGTTGCCTAGGCTACTGAATCCTAGTGACTCAGTTCCTTAGCTCTCCCCTGTTGTTATGTAAATCCAGAGTGGGGGCCTGCTCTTTGTCTCTTGGAAACCTTGCAAACTCTTGCAAACCTTGCAACCTTGCAACCTTTGCAAGGATGGCGGAGAGAGAAACTCGTCTGTACCAGTACCCCCCCATGTTTTTTCCTTTTCTCCTGTAGTCAGTCTGGTGAACTTTCCCCCTCCCCTCTAGATTCTGACCGCCGTTTCCCCGCCAATGTCTCGGGTTACTGAGCTCACCTCCCCTTCCAGCACCGATGTGTGGACTCGGAGCCCTGGGCGTCCCTGCTCTCCCCGCTGGTGTCTGTGTGACATCCACTCCCCTTCCTGCACTGGCGCGCAGACCCTGTGGCTCCCGCAGCTTGGCTTCCGCACGGTGGCGACCTTGTTCTCCCAGTACATCCTCCGAGTCACAGCCACTAGATCCGGAAGAGTTTCCTCTGCAATTTTTTCCTGATCCTTTTTCTGAGGCTACCATAACTCCACTTTTATTAAACTAAATTTTCCCGGACTATTGGTGCGCGCCCTCACTATTCCGCCATCTTCCTGCTCTACCTTTCAAATCAATATTTTCCAAATTAAAAAAAAAAAGATTCTCTGGCTCCTGGTGGTGTGCCCCCATAGTAGCACTGGCCACACCTCCGAGTGAAAGTGGTTCCTGCTTCTTGAGTGCTCAATGGCAGTCCCATCACATGTTTTGCCTACAACCTGGGGTGGGGGTGGTGTTCTGATGCTGTCTCTGATCTGAGAGCCAGGACAGGGCAGGAGAACCTGGGTTGATGGCAGGGTTAGGAAAGGACATCTTAGATAGGCAATAACGTGGCCTTGGTGGGGTGGGCCAAGCAAGGCATAGACAGAGTTGTGGCAAAATTGAGTGGGCTGTTGTGGCCAGAGTAGGACAGGAACTGGGAAGAGGCAAGAAGAATGTGAAGCTACCAAGCTAGAGCCTTTTGGGAGCTGACTGTGAAGTTGGATAGCAGGTGTGCAGTGTAGGAAGCCTGGAAGTATATGATGGCCCCTTTGAACAGAAGTGTAAGCTTTGGCCAGGTGCATGGTTAGCTCAGCATCTGAAGCTGTTTCTTGGAATGTGTCTTAGTCTGTTGTGTTTCTGCTGCAGAAACAAAGTCCCATAAACTAGGTGGCTTATAAGTGACCGAAATTTATTCCTCCACAGTTTTGGAGGGTGGGACATCCAAGGTCAAGGTGCCAGCAGATTCGCTGCCTGGTGAGGGCTTGCTGGCTGCCTTGTGGACAGCCATCTTCTCACTATACCTTCCTGTGGGGGAAGTAAAGAACTCTGGTCTCTGCCTCCCTGAAGGCACTCACTTCTTTCATGAGAGCTCTCCTCTCGTGGCCTAATCTCCTCCCAAAGACCCAACACACTGGGGATCAGGGTTCAGCCTAGGAATCTGGGGGAGACATAGTTCAGTCCCTGCTAGGTTCTCAGGAAGCTCAAGCTGCTGGGTGCCAGAGAGGTGGTTAACAGTCTTCCACCTGGGCCAACTCACTTCACCTCCGTGGACCTCTGGATTCTTACATGAGATTAAGTTGTCTTCTGGAGTCATGATAGGAAAGAAAAGAAATGAGGTAAAAATCTTAGAAAGTGCATCCACTTCATTGAATCCCAGGAAGACGTCTGGGGCGGCGGGCCATCTTTGGAAGAGTCCCTGGAGTGAGATCTCGGCAGGGCATAGTGGAGCATTCCACTAGACTCCTACCTGCACTGGTAGATAGAAATAGCTTAGGAAGAGCTTGCATTTTGAGGACAGGCAGAGTGCTGTGGGACCCCTGCATCCCACAGCACCATGCCTGGGTTGGAGTCCTGGCTCCACTTCCATTCCCAGCTCCTGCTCACGCACACCCTAGGAGGCAGCAGCGATGACTCCAGTGCTCGAGTCCCTGCCACACAGATGGGAGGCCTAGCTTGAGTTCCAGGTTCCTGATTTTCACCTGACCCGGTCTCTGCTATTCTGAGCATCTGGGGAGGAAATCAGCAGATGAAAAATGTGCTCTCTGAGTCTCTGTCCCTGTCTCTCTGTCTTTTAAATAAAACACGAGGAAACAATTTTAAAAGAATGTGTGCTTTAGAAATGTTACTCCCTGTGTGGAGGGTGCACTGGTTGGAGTCCATTCTAGTATCAGGCCAGTTGAGGCGATTGCAGGCTTCAAGGCGAGGGCTGGGGAAGAGCTGGACTAGGATGAGATCAGCAGGGAGGGAGATGGCTGTGAGGAATTTGAGTGGGGCTGGACTCTTGACCTTCTAATTTTTTTTGTGCAGGATCCTACAGCTGAATATCTATTTCAGTTACTAGACAACAACAGAGAGGTACACCCCTCCCACACTTGAGGAAATCGAGGAGTATTTGCAGGACCTCTGTGAGTCACATAAGGAAGAGGCAGAAACACCGGCAGTGCCTCTGCCTGCCTGTGGTGAGGGAAGCCAACATGAGTCAGCCCAGAGCCTGGCGATGCCGACCTTGACCCCACAGTGCCTTCTGAGCGTCTGAACATCCCCGGGACTGTCCTCATCCAGAACTCCACACAACCCTCTGTTACGGACCTTGATAGACCTCTTGAGGACAAAGTAAGACTCTTCACAGACCAGGAAGTAACCTTTGATCAGACCAAACCCACAGCAGACTCCCAGATGACAGGTGTCACTGACATTCCAAAGATGACACCGACTGATGGTCAGAAGTCAGCTGGCACTGCCGGCAAGCTGACAGTGTCCAGTGAAGATGGCCAGTTGAAGACCCTCGGCATGATCCAGATGACATGGGATGATCAGATCAATACCCCCAGTGAGAACCAGACTCTCCATGGAGCTCAGATGACAACTCTTACAGAGCGGCATGGGAGGACTCCCGGTGGTGACCAGATCCTCGATGGGGCCCAGAAGAGCAACACCACTGGTGGCCAGAGTTTCTATAGGGGTCAGATAAGCAACTCGACTGGTGACCAGACCCACTATGAGGGTCAGATGAGCGCCCCAGCTGGGGACCAGACCCTCTATGGGGGTCTGATGAGCACCCCAACTGCGGACCAGCCCTTGTATGGGGGCCAGATGAATGCCCCAAATGGTGACCATCAGACCCTCTATGGGGGCCAGATGAACACCTCAGCTAGTGACCAGACCCTGTATGTGCGCCAGATGAACTCACCAACTGGTGAACAGACCCTGTATGGGGGCCAAATGAACACCCCAGCTAGTGACCAGAACCTGTATGTGCGCCAGATGAACTCACCAACTGGTGACCAGACTCTCTATGGGGGCCAGATGATGACCAATAGTCATTCTTTGGTTCAAGGGCAACTCTTAGAAAAGCAGAATTGGAACCTACAGACCCAGCGCTTTCAGCCTCCGAAGAATCCTTTGAATCCTTTGAAGCCTTACGTCTGTACATGTCCTGACTGTGGGAAATCTTACTCAAAGTCTTCCTACCTCCAGATCCATAAGCGTAAACACACAGGTGAGTGAGGACCCAGACATAGGGGTAAGGGGCTTTGAGCCTTTTAAATTTATTTATTTATTTATTTATTAACAGTTACAGAGAGAGGGGGAAAGACTGCTATCTTCCATCTATTGGTTCACTCTGCTAGAAGGCTGCCACGACCAAGGCTGGGCCAGGCCAAAGCCAGGAGCTTCATCCAAGTCTCCCACATGGGTGCAGGGGCCACTGCCTTTTCTAGATCATTAGCAAGTGGCTGGATCGCAGTTGGAGCAGCTAGGATGCAAACTGGTGCCCATATGGGATGCTAGTGTCTCAGGCAGTGGCTTTACCCACTATGGCTCTGGCCATTGTGGCCAATTAGGGAGCAAACCAATGGTTGAAGACCTCTCTCTCTTTCTCTTGTGTAACTCTGACTTTCAAATAAATAAATAGCTCTTAAAAAAAAAGAAAGAAAGGACAGGGTGAATAAAGTAGTCCTAGGACAGGCTCTGGTCCTGGGCCAGAGTTGTTCTGTGGCATGGATTGTATGCAGGTGATGGAACAAGGAAGGAATATGTTTGGCCCCTTCTGCAGGTTCTTGACCCTGCCTCTACGGGGACTGTGGCTTCATGGACCCCATTCTAGAACTAACAGCCCTGGACGCCCTCCGTTCACTCTTGTTCCTCTTCTTTCTTCTCCTCGTTTCCTTTCTTCCTCTCCTCCTTCATGGTTTTCCTCTGTCCCTCCATCTCCTTTTTACTCACCCCCTCCAGGCATTTCTCCTCTGACTCTTCCTCCCAACGTGCCCCAAACCCTGTTATTCTTGGTCACTTCCCACAGCGCTGCCCGCCATGACCCTGAGATAGGAGTCTCTCCTTGTCTCTCTTGCAGGGGAGAAGCCCTATGAATGCAGTGAGGAAGGATGCCCATGGAGATTCTCCCGCGTGGACGCGCTCAGCAGACACAAGAGGAAGCACTCTGGGGAGCGGCCCTACACGTGTACCAAGTGCGACAAGAGCTTTGCGCGATCTGATCACCTGCGACAGCATCAGAAAGTCCATAGATGATTTCCACCCAGAACTATGAACTCCTCAGCCCGAGAGGAAATACATAGGGCTGAAAAATTCTCCCTCATTATTTTTGCTTTCCTAATCATCCGCACTGTGCCAACACGGTGCATGCTTACTATTATTGGTAAGCTTTTTAAAACATTTGTTATTTTTTCTAAGATGTGTGGATTTTCATACAAAAACTGGATCAAACAGAACTTCATAGAATCAGAAACAGTCTTCATTCGTTCCCCTCTTGCAGGGTAACTTAAAGCAGTGCTATGAATCCTTCTAGATCTTGGCTGTATTTGCGAAACTGTGCCATGAAAGCTGCCCGTGCCAAGATGCAGTCACATCAGACCCAAACCTTGGAGGTCATGGAGGAGGGGACCTCGTGCTTCCGTGTATGAGAGCAGAGCCATGACTCCTGAAGGTCCTTACGCCTAGAAGAGCTCTAACAAGAACTCTGTAATTCCATGTAAGTTGCTTCTATGAAGATCTTTGTTTTTAATATTTATCTTTTTAAAAAAGATGTTATATACTTGAAAGGCAGAGTTACAAAAAGAGAAGCAGAGCACCCGAGCAGCGCTAGGCTCACGCCAGGGAGGAGCCGTAGCCGCCAGCAGCGAGGCCGAGACCCGCATCCAATCGCACGCTGCCCCCGAAACCCAGCACTCACAGCGGTGGACCCAGTGAACTGGTTCCATGTGGGAAACGGCTCTGGTTCATCCAGGGGAAGAGCACGGAGGAAGCGTGTTTGTACCAGCCTGCGTAAAGCAGAATTACCCAGGGAGGGTCTCGGCAGTGTGGGGCGACACTGGGGTGTGGGCAGCAAAGGGTGCAGACCCTGGTGCAGCTCCAGGACAAGGCGGCCAACGTGCTGCGGCCAGGAACCCGTATAGATACGGTCGCCCCTTGGGGAGAACCCTTGTGGACACGGCCCCCGCCTTGTGGAGAACACTTGTGGACACATCCACCGCCACAGGGAGAACTCTTGTGAACTTGGCTTGTGCCGTGGGTGAGAACCCTTGTGGACACGGACCCCGCCTTGGGAAGAACACTTTGGGACCCCCACCATGGGGAGAAATTTTGTAGACACTGCCCATGCTGCCACTGGGGAGAACCCTTGTGGATGCAGCCCTTGGCGTGGGGCCCGTACTGTTGCACACAAGGTCCACGCATAGGGGTTCTCGCTACCCTCTGCAGGTGCAGCCCCTAAGACATGGCCCAGGGTGTTCCCACCCTCCCGTGCAGAAGTGATGGAAGGTGCTGGCGGGCAGGTGGCGGGAGAAGGCGGAGCAGCGAGACCATGGGCAAGGGATGGGGAGCAGGACTCACTCCTCACCGAAGACAGCCTGGAGAGGACAGAGGAGCACCAGCAGCTGACCCAAGGCCGCCTCCCGCCAAGGTTCCCACCGACGCCCAGAGGAGGGGCGGGAACAAAAGCAGAGCCAGAGACTCCAGCACCCGCGGCTGTCCCCACCCCAGCAGTGGACACACAATTGGAGCTGCACCTTCCTGATTACTGGAGCGCATTGTCAAGGCAGCTTGGGATTTTTATTATCTTTTCCTGAAGATGTCCCTTTTTGGTAATAACAAATGTGTTTAAGAAGAAAAGCCTAGTTTTTCTCAGTACACCTTTCAAGAGTTTTAAATTGTTTCCTGTCTGATCAAGCTGAGATGTTTAAGAACTTCATTTTTATATTTGCAGTAAAAGTTTGCAACTTGATTTTTGAAACAGTGAACTTCAATCAGCTCTTGTTAAAGGTTTTAAATTAAAAAAAAGAAAAACAACCCACGTTGGTTATGTCACTGAGGCATTGAGCACGGACATGGAATGAGAGCAGAGGAAGGCTGAAGTCTGCCTGGGTTTGGCTTCCCAGCCTCCAAAGAAGTTTATTTTCATTTTTCTTTATGTAGAAGGCAGACAGTGGGAGTTCTGTCCACTGATTCTCCCTCTGAATGCCTGTGATAGCCTGGATTGGGCTGAGCTGCAGCCCGGACCTGGAAACTCGCCCTGGGTCTGCTACCTGGGCTGGCAGGGACCCAAGTGCTCGAGCCATCACCTGCTGCCTCCCAGGTGTGCACCAGCAGGAAGCCAGGACTGAAGGTGCAGTCAGAACTCAAGCCCAGGCACTCTGCTAGGGGATGGGAATATCCCAACTTGCATCTTAACTGCTCAGCCCAAGGCCCATGCCATTCAACAGATTTTTAATTCAGAGATTCCTATGTAGTTAATTGCTATATTTGAAGCACTTGTGTAAATAATCAGATTGGGTCTTTTGAAACTAAATTTAGTTTATAAACAAATTACCTCTTATTCTCTTTTGTAAAAATAGGGGAAACTAGAAAAGTGGTTTAGAGAAAAACGATGTATGTCTGCTGGTAGAGTGTAACCCTGTCTGTTTTTTTAGAGTTATTCTCTCTCTAGATGTTGGACTGGATCCTGACTTCTGGTTTCCTCCAATATGTGGCTACCTCTCTCTAGCTAGGAACAGGACTGTGTTGTAAGACATAATCAGGCTAATCATTTCACGAGCTCCCTCTTAGATCCAAGAGCCAAACAAGATTTGCTTGGACATCTGAATTGTAGTTTGTCACTGATGCAAATATGACTAGAAATTTACATTAAATGCCCGTACGGATTCAACTTCAATGGCTGTTGTCACTCAACCACACTCACTCAATTTCTTTGCTGAAGTAGTCTTAGGTAACAGAATTAGTCTTAATTCTCTAGTAGGCAGACAAGATGGCTAGACTCATGTAAATTCTAGGGGAGCTGAGAGTAGGCTGAGTGGCTACAGTAAGTCTCACCCAGTTCTTTGATTTATTTAGCTGGTTCCCCTTCAGGCTTGGGTTCATGATTTTAAACCATTTTACAAACTGAATTTATCATTTGACTATTAATTTTACTTAGCATGGTCATTTCTGAACATTGTACCTGATCCTTGAAAGTCTCTGAAGTACAACTCCTAACTGGATAATGCTGGTCCAGCTCTGAGAGAGGATAGCCAATGCCCATGGAACAGGCCCAAGTGATTTTAACAAACTCCAGGCAGCCTGGGCCTGGGAGCCACTGTTCTGGACCTTGTCACTCAAACATGGGCAAAGACTTGACATCAACTCAGTTTGCAACCATTCCCGGATCAACCAGAACAGGTCCATCCTGGCATCGAGGGACAGTCAAAACCACACTTGAGATTGGGTAGTCGACAATGCTTTTGCAGAAGATGATCGAGCACAAGGGGGAAATGGCGTCCCCTACGTCAGACCCGAACCAAAGCAGAGCTGGGAGGTCCTGGAGATGTCCTGCTTCTGCGTCTCAGAGAATTCCTGAAAACACAATGTCACTCTGCCCTTAAATAAATAACTTTTGAAACAGAAATATGTGTAAGTTACATGTGTTTTCCAAATGAGTGTCTGCAAGAGTTAGGTGTTGCCATGGCCAGTGAGGACAGCGAGCCAAGCTGGAAGCAATGATCGTATTTACTCGCAGCCCCATGGTAAAAGCAAGAGGCAAAAAGAAGAGGGGCTGGCTCACTAATGTTCTGAGTGACAGTGCAGACCGGAGAATCCTATCTGAAGGAGGATTCCTACTTGTCTAGGTAAGGCAGGTGGGAGAGGAGGAAGAGGGGAGAGTGACAGGAGTGGCGAAGGCGAGTTTGATGGCAGGAGGTAGGTACCTTGGCCAAGGCTGTTGATAAGGAAGCCTTGGTGGAGGCCCCTGGGAGGTTTCTCAGCTGAGGGCCCAATAAGGAGACCTTTGAATGAAGGCGCCCGGGCTGGGTTGCAGCTTGCATGCGAGCTTGGCAGGCCGGTGATGGCGGAGCCTGGCAGTTCTCTGGGTGGCTTTGGTTTACTAGTCAACATGGTAGTGTGTGGCTTACAAGATAACAGTGCAGAACTTCATTCTCTGTGACTGCATCCGTCTGGTCCAGGCAGAGAGAGAGCTGTGGGAGAGAACAGACATGCTGGTGTGGGCAGCAGGCGTGGGACACAGTATCCGAGACGGAAGGGCTGTGGTGTTGGGAAGATCCGGGGAGACAAGCCTGGGTGGTAAGCAGAGGGTGGGAGGCCGCGTCCTGCACTGTCTGTATTGGGAAGGTTGTGGGATGGTGGGCACTGAGCTGGGCTGGGCTGCAAGGTCGATGAATACTGTGGAACTGATGGATGGATAGACTAACAGAACTGTGTAGACAGACACAAGTGTGTTTGGGGAGCACCTAGATGTTTAGAGTGACAACTTAAATCACTGAAGCAAAGGTGAACAGTTAGAAATTATGCTGGGACAACTACAAAGCCAGAATTAGATCTCTACCTCATTTCATACACAAAAGCCACCTCCAAGTGCAACAGGCATTTGGAAGTAAAATAAGAAACATTCAAGTAGTAGAAAACAATTGGTGAGTTCTTAACCATAACCAGAACTTAGAGAAAGCTTTCTAACTGTGACTCTCTTGGAGAGTTGGTAAAATTGGCTGCTTGGAAAGAAAAGTATTTTACATGACAAAAAGACAACTAGTGAGGTGGGCATTTGGCCCAGGGGTTAAGACATCTGCATCCCATATCAGAGGGCCTTGTTGGAGTCCCAGCTCCAATTTCCATCCTGGTGTCCCGCTAACATGCACCCTGGGAGGCAGAAGATGATGGCTCAAGTACTTGGGTCCCTGCAACCCATGAGGGAGACCCAGACTGAGTTTCAGGTTCCTGGCTTTAGTTTGGCCCAGCTCTGGCTATTGCAGCCATTAGCAGAATAAGCCAGAGGATGGGAGATCTCTCTCTGCCTCTCAAATAAATACATGAGAAAAGAAAAAAACTTTGTAAATATTAGGATGGATTTTAAGTTCTGGGAATTTTATTATTAGAATATAAATTATTGATTTTATACCCAAAAAGAACTTCCCAAAAACTTTTGCTTTTTTACAGGCAGAGTGGATAGTGAGAGAGAGAGACAGAGAGAAAGGTTTTCCTTTTGCCGTTGGTTCAGCCTCCAATGGCCACCATGGCTGGCGTGCTGC